ACTTTTGGGATAAAATCAAAAGAAAGGCAAAGGGGTGTATGACAATGAACCTAAATGAGAAAGAGAGAGAGAGAGAGAGAACAAGAGAGAGAGGAGAACCTGAGCTGCAAGCATTGAACAGTTCAAAGTCATTCAGAGAAAAGGCAAAGAGGCATTTCACTTGGCCTTGAGTGGAGAGGTGGCAGATTCTTTAACAGTCACAGAAAAACAGACTACCTCACAAATAACTGGGGAAACACAGTAAGGAAACAAACCCTGGTTTCCATATACTCAAAGAAGAGCTACCAGAAAGATGCCAAGAACCACTTTTTTCCTGGCTGTACACAGACATTACACGTTTTAATAATGTTGGCAGTTACACTGCAGAATCTAATTAGTTCACTCTCTCCACCTTAATTTTCTCGACAAATTTAACACACATTTGACCTTCAGCCACACTCTGCCATTGGTCTCTGCTTTTCCAAAGGGCATGGTATGTGCTCTTGGGTTCATTTTTCCCCTGTGGGACAAATGAAGGAGTGAATCCACCAGTTTTGCCTGTCCAGTTGGTGCAAATAAAACTTTGTTACCAAAAAAAAGATAAACAAGCAATCAAAAAACACATACCTCTTAAAGAAAGGGGGGAAATTAATTCACAGGAAGTAAAACATTTCCATGGAACATATTCTTTTAAGCAAACTATTTCATGGAAAATCCTACTGCATGTCTTATGTGCTCCCTGAAGACCTCCAACAGTTTTGATTATTGTATAGTACTCATGCAATAAGCTTCCAGACATTGTCTTATTTACTCAACCCCAAAAGATATGGTTGACCTGACAGAAAATCTAAAATCTCAGAGTAGTCCAGGTTTGGTGGCTTACCCTGTAATCCCAGCATTTTGGGAAGCTGAGGCGAGTGGATTGCCCAAGCCCATGGGTTTGAGACCAACCCAGGCAACTGGGTGAGACCTCGTCTCTACAATAAATCAAAAATTAACCGGGTGCGGTAGCACACACCTGTAGTTCTGGCTACTTGGAAGGCTGAGGCGGAAGGACTGCCGGAGCCCAGCAGGTTGATGCTGGGGTGGCCATGAGCATGCCACTGCACTGCAGCCTGGGCGACGGAGTGAGACTCCAACTCAAAAAAGTAAATAAATAAAATAAAATCTCAGAGTGAGTCTCGTAGAAATTTTATCGCAAGGCTGGGCGCAGTGACTCATACCTGTAATCCCAGCACTTTGAGAAACCAAGAAGGGAGACTCACTTGAGACCAGGAAGGCATGACCAGAGTGGGCAACATGGCAAGACCTCATTTCTAAAAAAAAATTATTTTTAAGTAGCCAGGGTTGGTGGCAAACACCAGCTGCTTGGGAGGCTGAGGTGAGAGGATCCCTTGAGTCCAGGAGTTCATGCCACTGCAATCCAACCTGGATGACAGAGTGAGACTCTGTCTCAAAAAAAAAAAAAAATTAAAATCTGGCCAGATGCAGTGGCTCACACCTATAAACCCAGCACTTTGGGAGGCCCAGGTGCCTGAGCCCATGGTTCAAGACCAGCCTGGGCAACTTGGCAAGACCTCATCTCTACAATAAATCAAAAAATTAGCTGGGCATGATAGTTTGTGCCTATAGTCCCAGATACTCGGAAGGCTGAGGCGGGAGGATCTCCTGAGCCCAGCAGGTCAAGGCTGGGGTGGCCATGATCGTGACACTGCACTCCAGCCTGGATGACAGAGTGAGACTCTGACTCAAAAATAAAATAAAAATTAAAAAATGTAATCCCAGTTCACAGAGCTTGTCACCTCCTATTTTGAAGAACTAAGAACCAAGAAGAAATCTTTCATTTTGTTTACTTCCAAGGGAGGAGATGGATTTGGAGGTGGGGAAGGGATCTGTAGAGGGACAGAGAGTCGAACACACTCGGTTATACCCAGGCATCAAGCAATTTACTAGTCTGAGGACAGACTACACTGGCATCTTCAGGCCAAAATTTTCCTTTAAAAAAAAAAAAACTCCAAGACTCAAAATAGTAAATGCAGCCTTGCATATCAGAGTTGAAAAGAATGAAAGTAGGAAATAAAATAACTGGTAAGGAGGCAGTCTTGAGTGGGGAGAGTGAAACCACAAGACTGTTTTCAGCACAGTGCTCCGCTTCTTAATGTAAACCACAAATTGCTTAAACCTGTGATCAAAACTCAGCCCCTCGGTTCCCAGGAGAAGCCCTGAGCTGGCCCAACCCTGAGTGGCCAGGATCATGTGGGAGGGGTGTTTAAGAAAGAGCAGGAGTTCCAACTTCAGTTCTCTCTCTCCAGTCTGAACAAAATGCAGCATTCAGGTACGCAAGGGTTAAAAATAATAATAATAAGCATGCCTTTTGGATACAGCTGGAAGCCATTAGCAGCTTTGAGACCATCTCAGTAACCCAGCTTGAGGGTGGGTGGCCTGGCGAAGCTCCTGGCTCCGTGCGTGTAATCACAGACCCTTGGCCCTGGGAGGGGCCATGTTTCCACTTCCCCACCCAATGTAGAAATCCCCTCTTCCACTAATGGCTCACTCACAGCTTGACAAGGCAACCCCTTCCTTCAAGGGCAACTGCAGTTCCTAGAAATTTCTTCTTGGCAAAGTTTGACTCTATAGAAAGTTCTAGCTCGGTCATGGCACCTAACAGTCCTACTTGTGAAGAGAACTATCCCTTGCCTCCAAACTCCTGCCCTCTCAGAGCCAGATGACCCATGTCTGCAAACCATCCCTTTCATTTGGTGGGTTCCAGACCCTGCTCCCTTTTCGGCCTGTGCTCATGTGTCGGAGTCCTTCCGAAGAACGGGACTCAGAACTGAATATATTCCCAGACTGAAGGGCACCGGTACGGTGTCATTAAGGGGACCTTTTCCTTCAGGAATGCTTGAGGGAAAATCTTTGTGGGGAAAATGCAGCCCCATCCCTCTTAGATACCATTGTTGCCAAAGGCCAGGGTCCCATCGCTTGCCGCACAGAAAGCCAATCAGTGGGACAATGAGTATTGCCAAGGAAGAAAGGCTTTATTATGAGGACGCCAGCTAGAGAGACAGGAGACCAGCCTCAAATCCATCTCTCTCCCCTGGCTCCTCCTCCATTAAAGTTAGGGGTTTATATAGTGGGGAAGGAAAGGGGAGGAGCAAGGAAGAGGAGTTGGTTGACCTGCAGCAGACGTGTTTCACAGTTCAGGTGTGGTGACCTGAAAAGCCTCAGCTTTCTCTCACCATCTGGGGGGCCTGTTGGTTGGTTTCCTGAGATGGGAGCTCAGATAAGACAAATGGGAGTTTCTCAAGCCTCAGTTCTATTAAGAAATTGGGCTGGTTTCACTGTCACTATACCGCCTCATCCCTGGGCATCATTTGGCCTGGGAAAGCTTGCCTACAGCATATGCCATTCTGGCAATGGCAGAAAAAAGGCCAAGAAGTTGGGAGGGAGGAAGGAGCGAGCTTTCCCTAGACACACAGCGAGGGAACCTCCCTCCTACCCTTGTTTTCCACCATCAACTGCAATCCATGCCAAAGCTGGAAAGACCATCAGTCCTGAGTTCATTGTGAAATATCCGTTGGGACGTGTTAAGGCAGATGTGAAAAGATCTCTCCCTTCGTGACCCCAGAGCTAGGCCTGGAGCAGGGATGTCCAACCTTTTAGCTTCCCTGGGCCACATCGAGTAAAGAGTAATTGTTGTGGGTTGCACATAACTTATGTAATATAGTTAGTGTGTCTTATTATATAAGGCTTTTATTTTTTTTATTATAAAGCTTAGGACAATGAGAACAATATAAAACTAGTGAGAAAGTTGACTTTGTTTTTGTAAAACTAATCTACCAATGTCCGATTCAATGGAAGGGGTTGCAGTTCTCAGTGCGTTCCCAAGGTGCTCATCAGAAAGGTTTGTTCGAATTTTATTCTCTGTGTGCTTCCTCACTGAAAACAGCTGCTCACAAGTGTATGTGCTGCCAAAAAGTGATATCATGAATAAGGAGTGATGGCAAACTTCAAAAATGGAACTACCTGTGGGGTCATGAACAATGTAAATGCTAAAAGGCACATGATGTTGCCAGGCACGGTGGCACACACCTATAATCCCAGCACTTTGGGAGGCTGAGGTGAGAAGGTTGCCTGGGCCCACGGGTTCAAGACCAGCCTGGGCAACTTGGCGAGACCTCATCTCTACAATAAATCAAAAAATTAGCTGAGCGTGGTGGTGCATGCCTGTAATTCCAGCTACTTGGAAGGCTGAAGCAGAAGGATCACCTGAGCCCAGGGGGTCAAGGCTGCAGTGGCCATGAGCATGCCACTGCACTCCAGCCTGAGTGACAGAGTAAAACTCTGACTCAAAAAAAAATGCATGATGTTAAAAGATTTTGTGAGGCCACATCACTAGCTGTCCTGGGCCACGTGCCGTCTGCGGGTCACAAGTTGGATGTGCCTGGCCTAGAGGATCCTCTAGGACCAAGACTAAAGCTCATTTTCAAGATGTGTCTTCCTTGTCCCAGAACCTGCCATTGCATCCCACATTCTCACAGAATACAAGCATTCAATCCTTCCTCACCTGGTCCATCCCATGGAGCCTCCGCCCAGCAAGCCAGCCTTGTCCTGCTCCCTCTTGACTCTGAGGTCCATGCTGCCCTTCCTGGAATACCTTTCCTTCCTTCCATAAGGTTGTCTAGAGTATCTGAAAACCCAGTACTGTCCTGCCATTGACTTAAGATTACACTTCTTTTCTCAGAGTTCTCTGCTTCAAGTAATTGATTGTTCAAATAAACACAGGAATCGGGCTTACGTTTTTGCTTTCAGCAGGTTAAATGCAGTGATCGGTCATTGTTCTTTTGGTCTGGGAAATGTCCTAATTACATCTTTGCTTTCATTACATGGAGGGGACGCAGGGTCAGCCCAGGCTCTGGCTTTTAGAGATTAAGTAAATGAGCAGTTGTGACCTCACAGAGCCATCTCATAGATAAGCCGATACCATGAGGTGTAATTTTGACCTTGTTTTGTGTTCCCAGCTGTGCCTCAGATCAGCTGTGATGTCAAAGCCGGAAAGATCATCAATCCTGAGTTCATGGTGAAGTGTCCCGCAGGATGCCAAGACCCCAAATACCACGTTTATGGCACCAACGTATACGCGTCCTACTCCAGCGTGTGTGGAGCCGCGGTGCACAGGTGGGTCCCCCTGAGTGACTTCCTGTTTGTTACCTGGGAGGCCCCAGTGCAAGGCTGTCCTATTTAACAAGCGTGTACACATTTAGCTGAGCGTCCTGCATTTTATCTGTCAGCCTCACCGTGGAGGATTGACCCAGAGGCTATACACAGTCCCATCTTTCCTTTTTAGCATTTTTATCTTTTTTATTATTTTTTATAGAGAGACAAGGTCTTGCTTTGTTTCCCAGGCTGGTCTCGAACTCCTGGGCTCTCAAGCGATGCTCCTGCCTCAGCCTCCCAAAGTGCTGGGATTACAGGTGAGAGCCACCACACCTGGCCAATACATCTCCTTTCATGACACTCCAAAGAGAGGACAACTAATGTCTCTTTACACCTTGATGGTGCGAGGAGAAGTATTCTAATTTTTCGTGTTCATGCCAAGGAAACCGGAGTTCTTAGTGACACAAAGCAGTTTTTTCTACCTATTTCTGCTGAGCAAGGAAGTGTCAGGGGTCTGGCTGAGGAAGGCGCAGAAGTTTGGCCTTCCAAGCACAGCTGTGGTGACAGCCTGGAGAGAGATGGGGATGGGGAGGTGAGAAGAAGGGTGATGGTGCTACCCCTTGGTCAGCTGTTGGTCTGGGATCCAGGAAGGAGGACAGGGGCGTGGCCTGCTTGGGACTAAGTCCCTGCCTAAATGATGACAGGTGAAAGCAATCTTCATAGAACTCTCACACTCCTTTTGTTTAAGTTTGAAGTCAAAGCACAGGGGCTGCATGTTTACTTAGTATCTTTGGTAATCAGGTCAAGCACCTCAACTATGCTATCATATTTCTTCCTGACAATTCCCCCTCACGGTGTCTACTGCTAATATACACATCTTAAAAATGAAGATGAGGCTGGGCATGGTGGCTCACGCCTGTCACCCCAGCACTTTGAGAGGCGGAGGTGAGAGGATTGCCCGAGCATAGGGGCTCGAGACCAGCCTGGGCAACTTGGCGAGACCTCATCTCTACAATAAATCATGCCTGGGCATGGTGACACATACCTGTGGTCCCAGCCACTTGGAGGGGGAAGGATCACCTGAGCCCAGCTGGTCGAGGCTGCAGTGGCCGTGAGCGTGCCACTGCACTACAACCTGAGAGAGTGAGACCCCGACTCAAAAAACAAAATGAAGATAGATTGGGCAGCTTTTCTTTTCTTTTCTTTTTTTGAGTTGGAGTCTCACTCTGTCGCCCAGACTGGAGTGC